ACACAAGGGGTACCAGTAATTGGAGCGGGGAAAACCCAAACCAGTTGAGCACACAAGCAGAGAGGAGCTATAGGTGTACCAGGGAAAATTAAGTACTGTTGGGGTTTTTTTTGTCAAGAATGACCTTTTTAAGGATTTTTTCATAAAAACAACTGGCACTAGCAAAATTGTTAAAAACTAAGAAAGTGTTGACTGTCCCTCACCGAAACAACCATGACTGTAGTGCAGGTGGCAGTGTAGCATCTGCTGAGGGATGCAGAAAACACTGGGCTGCACTTCTTCTTTTCCCCTAAAATGTGAGAAAAGTTATTTACAAAATTGAAAAGAAACTAAGATTCCCAAAGGAAATTAAATAAAAGGTAAGTTTAAACTGACTTACAGGGAGAGAAGAGGAAAAATTCAGGTTGTTGGAAAAGAACAGGCCAAAATGCAAACTCAAACAGTGATACCAGGCGTCTGTTTTACAATGATCCCATGATGGAGCTGATGGCGAACGTGCAGACCTGAGCAGTGTCTTGGGAGTGTTTCATGCTGCATTGACCTGCCTCCCTCCAAAGGTGACATTCTCCAAAATGGGGAAGTCTCTGCAGAGACTCCAGCTGGCCCCAAAAAGCCTGGCTGCTAGGGAAATGGGTGAAGATTTGGGGAGCCTAATTTTGGCCTCTTCCCTCTGTAGCAGCGAGCCGAGCACACAGGTGTGTGTGTAGAGCCTTCTTGCTGCCCACACCCCAGCCATCCCCATTCTGGTTTACATATTGGAAATACATTTAGGAGGCATCCCAGGCATGCTTTGGAAAAGGATGGCTTTTATGCTGATCCATTTTCCCAGCACGCCTACCAAGAGCCCCGTGTGCCAAGCAGCAGTCCCAGGCATCGGACATCCCCTGCACAGCAGCCTACATGATGAGAGGATCTTTAGTGCTGGGGATTAGAGCTCCCTCCTTTCTAAAGGCTTGCACCAATGCTTCTGAAGAAATAAGGGTGCCCTGAGTCCTTCCAGGAGTGGGACAGGATGAGCGGGTGGGCTGTGGTGGGGGATAGGAGGACACCCAGCTCCGGAGGGAGCCAGGAGCCCCATGGGGACACAGGTGACAACTGGCTTCTTCCTTGGGTTCTTGCCTGGAGGTTCACGTGCTGCCAGCCCTCCACCTGTGAGGCTGGGGGAGAGGAAGGCCTTTGTCCTCCTCTTCACTCGAAGACCAACATGCTAAAATCGATGGCACCATCTGAAGCACAGGAAAGTTTCCTAGGGGTGCTCAAAATCCCGAGTCCCATGGCTTGCGTTACAGCCCCCGCCTGGTGTATCGTGCCCCCTCCTCCGGCAGGGCTGACAGGGCCAAAGCCTCGCCTCTCGGTGACACCTGGCACAGCAGTTTTCTGGAGTCTTTTGATGTGATGGCTGCAAGAAACCCACTGTCAGTCACACGCTGCGTGCGTGCACTGCAGATCTAGAGGTCTCGTACTTAGTCATTCTTGCCACAGCTCCAAGTCTTCATTTTCTTGCCCTGGGAGATGCACTTAATTATTTATTTGTATTGGACCCAGGCTTGTAATACTTGGGTGCACACTACAAAGCGGCGAAGAACTATTGCTGGCTGCCGTCACCCATCAGCCCCCTGCTTACCCCAGGCCCCATCGACTGCACGTTGATACATGTTAAGGAAAAAGAAAGGTGAGGGCCTCCGTGCTTGTAGCCCTGTTGAAAGCAATGGAGCTGACGTGCCCAGAAAAGTTAACCTGCAGTGAGGCAGTTCCTCCTCCAGTGTACCCTAAAATGGCTTCAGCAGAGACATCCCCCAGGAGTTGGCTGGGTCTGGGGCAAGAGGACAAAGCCAGCTTTGCTGTGGGCTCTGCTGTCCCCAGCAGCCACATTGGCACCCGGCCAGGTCATGCCCAGGCACCCGGGCAGCCACGGTGCTACCTCCAGTGTGGTCCTCCTGGTGCTGGGGGTAGGAGGTGCTACTGGGCACCGGGACAGCATTAAAGTTAATTAAAGCTGGTGCTTTTGGAATTTAATTAATGCTGTTTGTCCATTTGCTGTAGGAGTTCAGCCTGGCAAGCCTGCAATTTCAGTGGTGTCACCTGCCAGAGCTGAGCTCTGCTGTCACCTGCCTTTGTCCGGGCAACAGCTCTGCAAGCAGGGTGGTGGCCTGCCCCGGGCTCAGTGCTCCGGCTTGTGTCTGCCTTGACCGATATCCACAAAAATGTCCCCTCCACTGACCTTGGGATGCCAGAGAGTTTGCCATATGGCTTCTCTCATGGTGTGCTCCTGGTGGGATCACTGCAAAGCCAGGTCCTGCCTGGAGCAGGTCAGAGCTGCAGTCCAGCAGTTCAGGGCTGGATGAGAAGGACGGGAAACACCAGGGATGGCCAGTGTCTGGGTCACCCCTAGGTACTATGGGGAGCCTGGATTCAAGCTATGATTTGGAGTCAGGCAAGAAACCCAGTTTCCCCTGGGTATTCAGCAGACCACATGGGGTAGTTGTCCCTCACCCTGGAGCTGCTCTCTGTTGGTTCACCTTGGAAGACAGATGGGATTCCATACCTTTGGGGAAAGCTCTCAGTGCTGGCAAGGAATCACACCCACGAATGTTGAAATACTCATGCAAAAACGTTGTGTCAAGGGTAGTTACCACAAGGGCTTTCCACACAGCATGGCCAGGACTGGATTGCTTTCCAGCCACTGGAGACATGACCACTGAATGCGTTCTTCAGCTCCTTGTGGGCCGGGCTGGGGCTGTCATTAAGCCAAGTGGTGGGAACACCCAGCGGGTCCGCCAGCATCCTTCTCCCAGCTGGCCCCTCACGTATTCACCTATCCAAAGGAGACCCCAACCCACGGTTTGGCTGCTCTGCCCATGCCATGCTCATAGCTGGGGTCCCTCCGAGCAGCAACCCGTGCTCGCCTTCCCCCCTGCTGCCTCTGCCTAACTAGAGCGCCGCGCCGCAGGTGATCACAGGGGGAACCTCAAGAGATGTCTAAATTTTATCCTAGCTTTGACTGTGATATTTTTCTTATTCTTTGTCATGTTTTAACCCCAGCCGGCAACTAAACACGACACAGCCGTTCACTCACTCTC